AAAAAAAAAAAAAAAAAAAAAAAAAAAAGAGAGAGAGAGAGAGAGGGGGGGAGGGGGACCATCTAATGGCTATCCATTCATAGTGACGGTTTCCAATTGAAGTATCGTTGTATATGGATGTAGCCTATGACGAGGGGAAATTGAGCAAAGCAGTATGCAAATTAATGTGGTTTTGTGTTCGTAGAAAAGAGCGAGTTCAAATGAATTTCGACTTCATAAACTTAAATACATAAGTCGTCCACATCCCGAGGCACTTGGTAGAGACACAACAATCGCGGATGGGGTTGGTCCTTTTATCCAAAGAACATGAATAATGGATTATTGATACACCATCCACCAGCAGTCGATGGGAAGGGCAACGAAAAAAGGTAACCACAAATAGAAAATACACAATTTGCAAAAAAACAGGTGTTGAGCTGACTGCAACGGGGGAAAAAAAAAAGCTAGCTCAACACTACACGCGAGGGTAAGGGGTGTTATATTCGAGGATGTCGATTTTTTTTTAGTTATTTGATAAATTAACGAGAAACAAATGCGTCGTTTTTCAACTAGTTCAAAAACGCAGGATTCCCCTAACGGTTTTGCATCTTAGACACACTATGTGTTACATGTGATTGAAAACTCATCGTTGAGCCTACTCAACAGTGTAAGTGGGGCACGAGCCCCGAGAATAGTGTTAAGGTTCCTCGACCTTAATTCTTGATTTATGAAATAAAATTTATAACTTGAATTAAAAAAAAAAAAAAAAAAAATCGTCCTTGCTCCACTTACACTAAAGGGCGTTACTCTGGACGGATTGTCTAAGGACACGCTCACATTGAGGTACGAAATCCGCATAATCTGAAAAAATATGGAGGTAACCCAAGAGCCTATCTAAGTAGGTACACCCATTAACTGTTGAAATGCATATCCGAACTCAAATCCAAATTATGAAACTTGATGAGTAAAATCAAATATTTTTGAATTGCTTAAGGCTCATCACCTAAATGATTATATCTCAAAACCGTCGCCCTCTCAAATAATAATAATAATAATAATAATAATAATAATAATAATAATAATAATAATAATAATAATAATAATAATAAAAATAAGAAGGTCCGGTTTGGGGATAAACTTGTGGCACCAGTAACACCCTGTCCCCAAATCTCTCATTTCACGGTTGCGGCGCAACGCCCATTACAGAACTTCTGTGGTTGTTAGTTACACGGTGCATACCTTTTTCCCCTCAAATGATTTTCAATTGTTATCATGTCAATATCTTCCCTTTTTATTTTTCTGTCATTTATGAAAGTTAATTCAAAATAAATAACTAAAAATTGTAATA